TTTACGACCGTAAACTCCTCTTATGGCCGTAAACCCTTGTTTGGTGCATGACTTGGCCGCAAACCCATCTTATGTCCCAACATAGGATAGTGAACACTTAATGGATGCTAGATAGGGCCGTAAACACCTCTTTTGCATGTTTCTTTTATGAGTGTACGGCCGTACACTCCTTGACCATACACTCCTTGCCGTACACTCCTTAACCGTACATTCCTTGGCCGTGAACACCCTTGTGTGGCCGTGAACCCCTTTAATGCAATCATATGTGATTGTAACACTTCCTTACAAGTGTTTCCTAGTCCATAATGTAGTTTCCTTGCATGTTAGTTGTGTTAAACACTAATTACATGCCTATATATGCCATTATATGTCATTTAGGACTCGTTTGTGTCTCGGGAATTCATTCGTGGAACTTCTCATCCTTACGCGAATCTTCAATTGAATCACCCACATAAGGTGAGTTCATACCCCTTTAATCTACCTTTTCAAATGATTTTTAAAGCTTTTTAGGGGGGGGGGGGGAATACAAGTTGAACACAATTGTTAAATTGTGTTAATAATTGTATGTGATATCAATTACACAAAGGATTTTCTTATGCTTTTAAGGATTACCAAATACTTCCAAAATGACTTAAAGTCATGTTAAATCTTTAAAGTCATGTAAACTCTTTTTGAAACACTGTTAAAACTCTTTTAATACTGTTAAACTCTTTGAAAAAAGGTTTTATAAACTATTTCATATTATAATTGTCAAAATCATGTTCATATATGTATAAGTATATAAATAAGACTTAAAGGGCTTAGGACTAATGAGTTGCCTTATCTCCTTTTCCTTGTTTGGATGTGGTTTAAGGTGAGGATATTTGTCCGAAGGTCATTTCCTTCTTAATTATATACATTATACATATGGGAATATAAAATGTTACTTCACTCGGTATCATTACCTTTGTATCATGCTGAGCAAAGGGATACTTTCAGGATAGATCATGCTAATCAGATAAAACGTATAAATTATAATAGGTATAATTTATGAAAAAAAAACGAGAAATCTATTTTTCCTAGATAAGTAACGAGGTCTAAACTACTTTATCAAGAAAAGGATATAATTCGATCTTTATTCAAAGTAAAATGTGATGGTACGCATTCAGGACATAACAATACTTGCTATGTTATATTCTTGTAACCAGAGTCTCCTGGAGGGAGAGCGGGCATTGTGTGTATAGATCTATACGGGACTGACAATCCCACATCCCGACTGCTAGTTACAATCCGGCAGACCAGCCACGGGGTGACAAATGTCACATATTCAGTTTCAACACCAGTAGGTCTTCGTGTTCATTCTAGTCCAGCATGGTTACAACTTTATCACATTTTAAACCCTAATTAACCAAGTTAATATTAGGGTAATTATTCACAAGTAGTTTGTTCTTTTTTTAAGAAATACCATTGTAGTATTCACTTTCCATAATCAAAACGGAACGGTTTTATGAGGATTTAAAACTACTTATCAGAACGGTTTTATGGGGATTTAAAATTACTTATCGGAACGGTTTTATGGGGATTTAAAACTACTTATCAGAACGGTTTTGTGGGGATTTAAAACCACTTTTTATCATTAAAACGGAAAACATTCTTCTCATAATTTTATGGATAGTTAAAATTATGTTAAACCTTATTATAAGTATAATATTACTTATATGGAACAGTTTTATGGAATTAAAACTACTTATCAGTTGTAAAACAGAAAATATAGAATTTTCTGGAACGTCATCATTCGTTCACTTAAAACTAGTATAACATAAAGGACCTTAAATGGTTAATTTTATAATTCCTTAGTTTATACACCAGAGTTATACATAATTAATATCCGACTGACAGTGAAATGTGTGACTTCCACATTACTTCCTGTTCCTTGTTTGGTTGTGGGCTTAGGGCAGATTCACACATTTAACTGTCAGTTCGATATTAGGTTATATATGACTAGTATAAACTAAGTAATTGTAGAGGGAACTATTATGGTTATCATATTGTCACGTCAGAAAATATAGGATTTTCTGGAGGAACCAGTTAACTTTTCCAAGATCTTAGAGTATACTTCATATAACTAAAATACTTATGAACTCACCAGCTTAAATGCTGATCTACTCTTTCAAAATAACTTGTATTCTCAGGAATCCAGTAGACAGGTACACTCCCGAAGCTTTTGAGAAGACTGCTTAGTACTGTACTGCGACTCTTGTCTTCTACTGTATCTATTTTGATGTTTGAATATATAATGTTTAAATACTTATGTAAAACTTATACTTATTAATGCAATGGTTGTTTGTACTTTGATTACTATAATGCATGTGTTGTGATACTTACATGACGTCCTCCGCCCCCGAACGTTTCTGCCGTTCTGGTTTGGGGGTGTGACAGTTAACCTCTTTTTAACTTCGGGGGCGGGGGAGGATAGTCCCGTCCTGAAACCCCCATGGGGGCCCGTTAAGATATTATATATATTTTGGGTGAGTTTACGAAATTCTCAAATTATTATTATTTTTATTATTTTTAAAATCCTAAAAACTGTTAAAAAGATGCATTCTGACCATTTTCCCGGTTCAGCCGCTAACAAATTAATGTTAGACTATTCCGTAAACTGACCCAAAATATTGTGACTATTTCGTAAACTTTCCAAAATATTAAGATTTTTCTTCAAAAAACCATTATTTTTTAACATTTTATTGAAAACTCAAATAAATGTTTTACTTTTTAAATTTGTTATTATTAGTATTATTAAATAAATGCATATATAAATATATTTTAAATACATATTTATACATATAAAAACGTATTTATATGTAAAAATGTAACACCAGTTCCAGGTATATATTTATTTTGTGTTCATAGTAATTAAGATTTAAAAAATGAAATTTTAGGTGGCCACGACGTGGTGGTGAAGACACCATGACGTGGACTCAACCGAAAAGAAGTGCGCATTCTTTTGGACACCACGACGTGGCAAGGTCCTAGCCATGACGTGGTGGTGGTCATTATGCAAAACCCTATTTTCAGGGGTTAGTGCCCCTATTTAAGGGAGGTGATGGCTAGGGTTTGCTCACGCTCAACCTCCGTCACTCCCTCTTGACTTAGAACAAACCCCAGCCCCCTTGGTTGTATCTTGAAGCTTTTTGGTGGTGTTTTGTTGTTTTGAAGCAAGAAGAAGGTGTTCTTAGTCCAAGATTCTCAAGCAAGTTTCTCACCACCTTCTTACACACATTTTGGACCTTTGTAAGTCCTCAAGATCATAAATTTTGTGTGTAGCCTTTCTAGATCTAGGCTTATAAGCACTTTTCTCCATATTTAAGGTGGTTTGAGTGAATGGATTCCGTAAAGCCATTGGCTATAGGCTCAGGACACGTTCCAGCCCTGTGTTGTATGCTTGGTGTGCATGAATTGTATATGTATTGTTGGGTGGGGTATTTTGGGTAACTCGTTAAGCTTTGACTTACAATTGTGGATTTAAATGTTTCAATTAGTTCATGGGATCGGGGAAAAGTGAATGCATGACTGTACACATCATCCAATGGCCGATATGTTTTGAAAGATTATATGTTTTTGATACTCTGATTTTATGATATGGTTGTGAAACAATGTTTTGATTATTTGTGTTTTATGGAAAAATGGTTTACTCTTTTTAAAATAAAAAATTTTACTATGGCTTTTGGGACGTTACAAAAAAAATACATATAAATATAATAAATACATAAGAAAAACGTATTTATATATTTTTATACCTTAAAACATTTCTAAAGTTCTTTTTTCATTTAAACGTATTTATACGTTGTTGAGAAAAGTAATGGATGGTGATAGAACATATCGATACAACGAACAGACCAGGTTATGCTTAAATATGGTGGATCAGGTCATGCTTAAGTATGGTGGACAGACGACCATACTCAGCATGCCTAAGTATGGTGGACATACGACTATACTCAAACCAGACCATGCTTAAGTATGGTGGACAGACGATCATACTCAATATGCCTAACTGACATAATCTATACAAAAGATTTTATCAGATAAAGTAACAAAAAGTATCGTTTCTTCGATAAAGAGAATACCAGAGATCAATCTTCAAAACACTTAAAGGTTAGGAGTGTCTTCACATCAATCTTTATCACGATCTTCACATACGAAGATTGTGTGGGCTTATGGTCGTCTCTCCGGTAAAGAGAATACCAGATATCAATCTTCGATATTCTCTTTACAGGAGAGACGTACATTTGGATACTTTATCTAATCAAATCTTTTTTTATAGATCGTGTCAGTTAGGCATGTTGAGTATGGTCGTCTACTTAAGCATGGTCTAGTCTAAGTATGGTTATCTGTCCACCATACTTAGGGATGTTGAGTATGGTCATATGTCCACCATAATGGTCATATGTCCACCATACTTAAGTTTGTTGTTATATCGATATGTTCTATCATCATCCAGTTCTTTTCTCATCAACAACATATAAATACGTTTAAATGGAAAAAAAAACATTAAAAATATTTTTAAGATAAAAATATATAAATACGTTTTTCCTATGTATTTATTATATTTATATGTATTTTTTACGTATAAATACGTTTTTATAAAACTTTAAGTAGCTAAAAACTTTTGAAATGTATAAAATTACATAGGACAATTGTTTTAAATAGATAAATATATAAATATGTTTTTATCGGCAATTTTGTAAATTGAATCAAAAAGTTCAATAGTTTTTTCTTAAACGCTATATGAACGAAGTTTTTTGTTTAAACCAAACTTTTTGTCAAAAGCTAAAAGATCTATAACACTCCATGTCAAACACACACTAAGGCTGTTACGTTTTTTTTTTTTTTTATTTCTAGGATCTTATGTCCGAGAGAAATCAGAAAGTAAGTGAATTGAATATATTCTAAAGAGTAGCAAAAGTATATTGCAATTTTACAGAATGTGAATTTAATAAAGAAGTTGTAACCTACAAGGAGGTCCTGCATCCTGAAATATGTAGGACACATAAAAAGATAACAAGAAGCTAATGACAAAAATCTAAGTAAATCATCTATAGAATCCTTGTCACTCATTTTACGATTGGATATGATGTTCTCGTACATGTATAAAATGAAATGCCTAACCAAGAATAGCTTTGATCTTTGTCTTCTGTTCATCTGTTAGTGATGTAGGGAAAAGAACCTCAAAAGTAACATACAAATCACCCTTCTTATTGCTATAATGCAGTGGCATTCCTTCACCTTTCAATTTCCTCACCTCCTTAGGTTTTGTAATTCCCTAAATTATACAACAAAAAATAAACCAAATAAATAAGATATTGGCTATGATTATGATGGATTATTATCCATTATATATATATATATATATATATATATATATATATATATATATATATATATATATACCTTTGTGCCAATATCCACTAGATGCTCATCAAGGTGCGTAACAGTCTTTTCAAATCCAACAAGTGCTTGTGCCTAAAAATTACAACATAAGTATATGAAGAGATCATCTCACAAAAGAAAAAACTATTAAGAGAAAAATTACCAAAGTTATTGTGGCAGTTGTGTGAAGGTTATTGCCTTCCCTTCTAAACCTCTCATGTGTTGCTGTACGAATACGGAACTGCCCAAATTTTCAGATTCACAACCATCAGCTAGATAATAATAATAATTATAATAATATGATTATGATGATGATTCCTACTAACCCTCAGATCTCCAGGTTCACCGTCTATAATTGGTTCACCTTCTTCATAAAAGACCACTTCCTGTGATAAGAAAATCAGCAATTTTTAAACAGTTAATTCCATTAACCAGTAGCTGCATATTTTTTACATAAATCACAAAGCTTACTTGGCCATCTTGCATTCCTTTCTCAATATCCACAGTGATAAAGTTCCCTTCCCTTTCATATTTTACATTAGGACACTGCTCGCACACCTGAACAACATTATCAGAAAAAGCAGAGCATATATGTAATAAGTAATCATAGGAAATGGGAAAGGGGAGAAAAATTATGAAACCCATGAGAGATAAAATAATAATAATAATAATAATAATAATAATAATAATAATAATAATAATAATGATCTTGACAACTATACCTGCTCTGTCATTTGTTGGAACATTCCTGGACCTATTTGCCTGTGATAAACCTCGTTACGACAGTTGCACTGTCTTTTACCAGGAGCCGGCTTTAGAATATTCTTCTCCCTCCAAACCTGATTTAAATTCACACAGACATGGCAAAAAGAACTTTTTTTTAAAAATGAAAAAATAAAATGAGAGAGAGAGAGAGAAGTACCCATTTGACAAATATGCAAAAAATATCACCACATGTTTTCCTACCTTTAGTGACCCTCCCATGTACAAATCCTCCAATGTTGCATCCAAGTCAATAATTACATCATCGCCCTTTGCCACTCGTTCCTCCTCTTCTCGGTCTCCTCCACCTCCAAAAAACCTGCAAAACAACTCTCAAGCAGTCACTACATGCAATCAAAAAGTGTGATTTCCAGCCTAGAAACTAGGGTGAGAGAAATTCTTCTAAGTAATAACTAGACTATTTAGTCAATCTGTAAGGATGTTGTGAATCCTCAAACTCTGCACTCCATTGCTTCTAAACTGAGGATCTGAAGTAATATCCTTGATAAGGAAAGTGTCTAAACAAGTAACAAGGAAGTAGCAAACTCTCCATGATAAAGTGCCCAAAACAGTTCGACTCTTATTTACAGTGTTTAATACTTACTGAGAAAGCTTGTTGAACCTTTAAACAAGTGTTAAGTGTTTATTCAGCAAACCAGCGTTCTTGCTTCATTGTAAACTCCATGTTGTATTATATTAACAAGAAGCTGTTATCAAACTTTACCAAAACAGTGTATCCACCAAAAAAAAAATTATTCATCTAATTTCCTAACATTGTAGCCGTTTACACAAAATGCTTACTCTATCATAAAAATACATCTTTAGTACTGCTAGTTCACCAAACAAAATGCTTACTCTACAAGATAGAACGTTAATACTAACTCATCAACCAGGCAACCACCATAAAACTGTCTTCCACTCTTCCCAACACCAAGTGAAGTCTGTGCAAGTTGCATTTAACCTAAGATATTTTTCAGTGACCTATAAAAAGCTAGCATGTTTACTTAATGCATACATTATGATATAGTTTACAGGAAATTCAAATAACGCATATCTACACAACCAAGTAGCAACATAAAAATCAGAAAATGAAAATATATACTGAGGGCAGGGTGAAAAATGTTACGATTTGAATATGTCCTGAATATCCATTCCTCCGCCCCCACCGCCACCAGCAGCATGTTGTTTGAGACCTTCTTCGCCGTATCGATCGTAGATACTCCTCTTCTCACTGTTTGATAACACCTCGTAAGCTGAAATAATCCAAACAGACGTTAAGCTTACATCAACCAAAATACAAAAAAATCAAAGCACAACTTACAAATCCAATGCATAAACGAGGCATTTACCATTGTTAATCTCGGCAAATTTCTTGTTAGCGTCTTCATTTCCTTGATTCTTGTCGGGATGATATTTCAAAGCCAGCTTCCTATAGGACCGTTTAATCTGGTCGTCGGAAGCACCCTTGGGAACTTGCAGTATATCATAATAACTTTTTCTGTAACGATCAATTAAAAAAGGATTAACCCTAAATATATAATGGAACATAAAGATGTAGGAAAAGAAATGGCACATACGCGGCACTAGCAATCAATAAGATTGATAAATAGATTAAGAAGAAGAAGTTGGATCTGCAATGCGCCATTAAGGAGATTGGGGCAGATACAACCCTACGCAATCAGAATCTCAAAGGTCTGGTGTATCAGAAATTAGGAGATGCTGACGTACGTATAGTCCTAAATTCGCCGAAAACAAGAGACTCTAGAATCACAAGCAACAGCAGTAATGCACACAGGTTATCATACTGCGATCAAACACTCCTTGAGGTCGAAATCTCGGACCGCGGCAGGGGCGGAGTTTATACATACACAAGGCGTCAATATATTTGCGACGTGGTATTGAGAAAATGTAACCAATGAGAGAGCGCTTCCACTTGTCTCATCCAATAGCATTCTGCCACATATTTTAAGCCGACGCGTTTCGCACCGCAGGAAAGCCCAAACAATGACTTGACGATGATTAGCCCATTTGGGACGGTAAACGAATGAAATTATAAATAACGTAAAATTGATTTATGAAATTATAAATAACGTAAAATTGATTTATGAATTTTTTTTTAACTAAATAACTTTATATTAGTTATCATCATACAACTAAATTATAGTCCGCGTTAAACGCATAAAAAAACATATAATTGTCTACGGATATTGCAAACATATAATTGTCTACAGATATCGCATAATGATTATAAAAAAAATATGGTTATTGGTATTATTAAAATATGTAGAAAATACATTGAAAACGATAAATATCTATAATCATTGAAGGAACTCTTTGTAGACAACATTTTTTGTTTTATTAGTTGAACGACTTTCCTCGTCCCATATAGTTATGATATTGTTATATAATTATAAGCATTTTAATTAGACGTTTCTTCCATAATAAGGTTACCTAATTTAAACATATATTTACAACCAATATATCGTTTTTTTCACTGTATTAAATATTGGCAACTATTTCATTTATTCAAATAAAGTCATATAATATAATTTATAGAATGTTAAATGTTATATGAATTTAATTTTAGTATATCATCAATAGAGATTCTTTTCTAAATCATGATTGGTTTATTTTAAATTGATTATGAATATAAGTGCTAACTTTTATGTTTGTTATTATTTATTTGGTGTTTGCAAGAACTTTGCATTAGTTTTGGCGCAACTTTAAATAATTTTAGTATATCATCAATGTAATTTGATATATCTTTCAATTATATAAAATATCAAATAATGACATTTAATTACTATTGTGATAATTTAGTTTATATATTTTGTATTTTTACTAATTTTAACGGTCTTATTTTTTTCTAATAATCATAACGCTTTTACTAATTGTACTTTTTACAAATCTCCTAATATCTTATAATTTTTATCTTACTTTATAATTTTTCATAACTATGTTATTTTCAAGATTGACTGTCTTAATAGTTTTTTTTCAGTCTATTCAATTTTATATTTCATTGTACAACATCATCATTTGTATGTATTCTGAAATTTCACTTTAAAAATGCTTAATGTTTACACCTTGATATTAATTTTTTTTAATAAAATCATGTAATAATTATGGAATATATATCTCGTTTTAATTAACATTTACTTCCTTCATTAAATCAAAATTCCTCATTAAACGGATATATTTTTGGAAAGTAATAATTATAATGGGGCAGCATTATCTAAGACGTAAATGTTTGATATACTTTTGGAGGAAAAAAATCAGGATCACTAAAAAATTTTATATAAAGAAAATACAAATTTAAATTTGGTGAAATTGTGGATGAATTTACTGGCGAAAATTATTTTGAAGGGGTTGTATTTTGTAAGGTATAATAATATTACAAAATTCGAAATATGTATATTTGTTGTCTAAATTTATAAATTTTATTGTTACTATATAAAGATAAAAAAAAATAGGTTGGTATGATATACAAAAAACATAATAATTTCAATTATATTTTAAAATCATGCCAAAATTAACCGGATTCTTATGACATAAAAATTAAAAAAAAATCATAATCATCTCTAATATATAAAAGTAACATTTTCGTAATTAATGTTAGTTCCCAAGATAGTTAATTTCTGTTTTGTTAAAGGTACGTAATATCTTTTCCTGTTTATTTGTGACATCCCTATTTTCACGGCCAGAAAAGTCCGATTTTGTTTATGCTTTATAAAAATCAGAGTACCTCTTTTAATAAAAATGTTGCGGAATTTGTTCACAGAAAAACATGATAAATACGATATCAAATCATATAGCACTTCTGAAATCCAACAACCCTATGCGGCCCTTTAAACCAGATTCTCCGTACCGCGAGTAGTTAAAAATATATTATAACGACACTTATATAAGTCATAATAATAACTCAAATATTTATTATAAGTTCATAATAACAATACTAATTTTAAATATAAACTATATTTAAAATAGGGTATCCATAACTTACTTACAATGGGGTTTTAGCTAGGAGCCGAGCTCTGCAGGGGCAGAACTTCGTCGCTGAATCTTTCTAAGAAAGATTCGTGCAGCGCTTCAGCGCTCACCTTACTATACTAAAACTATCGAAAGAGAAGTCGAATCACGAGGGACCGAAATGCTCGGGGGATAAGAAGAGAAAGACTCTTGAATCAACAGAATGGTGTAAGAAATATGAGAGCTAGAGGCTCTTATTTATAGTAATTGAATTTTCAAAAACTACTCTCCATAATTACTTGACGACCTTATAGTTATATAAACAACTAAACACCCCTTTATAATACTATTTTAAATAGATTTAACGATATTTATACTAAACTAATGTCGAAAGTATTCAACACTAGTCTTATAATGACCGCATCGTCGATACCTTTCTAATAATATATACATATGTATATATATGTGTACGTATATATGATTTATACTTTATTTTAATACGTAAATATGCTATTATAATTTGTAACTCGTTCATACGAACTCCGTTTTTGACGCTCTTTATATCCACACGTAGGTGGAGACGTACTGTACAACTTTCATTTAGACTCTGTCGGCTAATTTGACTTTATTTTTAAAGTTATATTTTTAACAGGCCGGGACAGGAAAAGTCCGTTAAAAATTCATAACTTCTTCATCTGACGTCCGTTTTCGTTTGTCTTTTTACCGTTGCGCTACTATGAATGAGATCTTCAATTCTCATTTAGGTTGCATTGGCCAAAAATTGATCGATCTCAAATTCGAATTTCAGGTTGTGCACTGCTATGCCAAATCTTAGAAAAATCATAACTTCATCATACGAAGTCAGATTTTGACGTTCTTTTTATGCACACTCTTGGTTTAACGTATGTTACAACTTTCATTTAGATATCTAAGGCTAAAAATTAGTTTATCAAAAATTCACTTTTTACGTTACGCGGTGTCGTGCTGGTTTCGCCGTAAAACTTCGACGAGCCATAACTTCTTCGTTATAATTCGGATTTCGGCGTTATTTATATGTACGGAACCCTTGTAACATATAATATAACTTGGTTAAGATTAATCCTTCTAAATAATCTTCTACCAAAAAGTCATTTTTTGGCGCTTATTATCTCTAAATTGACTAGCCCGAATTTACGGGCGTTACATTATTTGAAATGTTTCAGAAAAGTAGTTAACTGATTTCATGTACTTTGTGACAAAGAAAATCGAAATATATGAATACATATATTTCATATAGGAACAAAAAAATAATCGAAAAAAATATAAAAAGTGAAAGAAGGTACTGACCTTCTAGTGCACAAGAGCGAATGTTTGAAGCAGAGAATGATGATGGAAATTATAAGCAATAAGAATGATGTTGTAGGAGAAAGTTTGAAGAAAAGAAATGATTGAAAATAAGTGTGAGCCGCGGATTGAAGGATGAATCGTATATGTATGTGATTATTTGAATATGATTTTTTGGTATTAATGATTTCCTAATAAAAATAGATTTTATATTAATGGTTTACTAATATAAATGGATTTATATTAATGGTTGATATTAATGCCTTGATTGAAATGGTTTGTTAGTAATATGCTTTTAAAATTGACCATATTAAAATCTTCATAATCGGAAATTCAAGATTTAAAATATGGAAAACTTTTATTGGAATTAAATACATTCCATTTCAACGAATGTAAGTTATTGTTTGACGATTGGAAAACATTTATTGGAATTAAATACATTCCTGTAACATCCCAAGTTCGGAAGCAAGAAGTTGAAGGGTGCAAAGTGTAAATTTAGGAAAGGGACTCGACGAGTAGGTCCGCTTACTCGCCGAGTCGGAGCGGGGTTCTATCGCGGATTAAGTGGCCAAGGGTTGCACCCTATTTTAAAGGACATTACTCGACGAGTAGGTCCGCTTGGACTCGACGAGTTGGTGCTGGAATGAATAAACCCTAATCCCAAGGGTTGCACCCTATTTAAAGGACATTATGTCCTCCTCCTAGCCTCCTAATCCCCCAAAGAGTTCCAGAAAACCCTATTTTCGTGTGAGACTTCATTGTTGAGGAGATTGGAGCTTGGAAGAGGAATTTGGTGGAAGGAGCTTGAGAAATTAGAGTCTAGCATCAAGGGGCTTGTGTAGATCCGAGATCTACATCAGTTTGGGCACATCTCAGAGGTAAGGAGCCATTATCTTAAGCTATTTCCTTTTTGGGTTCATCCTTGGTGGTTGATTTGGAGTTCCTTAGCTTGTTTGAGATCTATTTCGGGTTTGGAGTTTAGATCTGAGGTTGCTACTCCAGATCTAAGCTTGTGATGGTCCTTAATGCCATAAAGCTCCTGTCTAAGAGTTATTGGTGAAGCCCCTTTGTCATAAACCCTAGCCCTAGAGTGTTTTGGGCTTATATTTCCTTGGTTTCACGTAAAGTTTGCAACTTTATGTGAGGGTTAGGCTGTAGAAGAGTGGATTATGGATTGGAGCCCCTGCATGGCTCAAAAAGCCTCTGTATGGATTGAGAACTGAAGAGACTCGGCGAGTCACATGGGTGTACTCGACGAGTTGTATGAACATGTGCATGGACTCGGCGAGTTGGAAGAACAACTCGGCGAGTCTGTTGAAGATTGCCTTGGACTCGACGAGTCTGTTCTTGGACTCGGCGAGTCTAGTCGCAGAACCCAATCTCTTGTGGTTAAAGCTTTGGATTAGTGAGTCGGTTGGCGACTCAGTGAGTTGGGCAGGATGGGATTCCGAGATCGTTCAACTCGACGAGTCTTGGAGCGACTCAGCGAGTTGAGTTGTGTTATGGGAGTTTTCTGAGTATGAGGACTCGACGAGTCGACGGGTTGACTCGGCGAGTAGAGTCAACCAGGAAGGTTGACTT